AGCACATTTGAGAACAAGCCAAACCCGTGAACTTTACGGGTTTTACTGAATGAATAGGTCACAAGATTAGGTTACTGGGAAGGGATGCAGTAATAGCAGCTGTGTTAATTTCACGCAGTCGTCTCCCCTTAAGGAGGTGTATGAGGGATCGAAACCACGAATCAAGCCTCTCCCATCGTCAAGTAGTATGGCCACTGTTATGTGAACTTGGAACTCCATTCAACTTGTGGCCAGCCATTCGATTCTGACTACCAAACCATCTGAAACGATCCTCGCTTGTTGCAAAACATACCCTGAAATCAACATGGTAAGTTAGAAATCGGTTGTGACCGTGGTCGCTTTTAAGTTGTGCCTGTGGAATGATTCGCAACAGATTCGGGTCCACTCAATAAACGGCTCCGTCCGGCGCAACCAGACAAAGTTCAACAAAATCATGCACTTTTGAAGACCGTAGTTCAGCGCGTACACTTCAACACTATGGTTCGCACGAGAGTAGCAAGTGCGACGCGGCAAATAACGCAGTGCAGGCGGTCTAAAGTGCCGAGAAGCTTTCTAAGCCTTATCGTCAATGCTAGATTCACACAAGAAGAGTATATGTTTTATATGTTGCATGTTTTTTTACATAAGTACAAGGACATGACTGCAGCAAGTCTCCGGCTGAGATGAAGTGGACGCACAGGTGCAAAAATAACCTTTCAAATGCAACGCATGACCATCATGGCTGTAACATCCCTTTTTTCGTACACATCATTTATTTGCGTTGTGCTTAGACCCATAAAGAAATGGGGAAAGGCCATACAGCGTACTACGAGATCTATTGGAAGTGATTTACTTAGAAAAGTGCTGAAAATAACAGCATCAGACACCCGGTACAATTGAGGGTCATATTTGTCCCCAATCAGCTGATAAGAAAGAGAATTTAATTTCTGTTTCAACACTTCCTAATACCATTTACAGATGCTTCTAACACACGATGGACACGCGAATAAATAGCACACGGTTCGTATTTCGCTCGATTCGCTCGCTGAACTGTGCTTTCTTCAATTTTTCCAAGGTACTATTACTCAGGGATTGTCGATTTGGTTCGGCTTTCGGCAAGTTCAAAACAGTGATTCTGAGAATACTATTCCACTGTTGTTGAACTATGAATACGTTAAGCACAAAAAACAAATAAGCATATACTCGTCACTGAGTTGCCGTAGGCCGCCACGCCTTGATTTCTTCCAGGAACCCATGATGGATTGTGCGATTCACCCAAAATTTCACCCTAAAATGGGTGTGCTATCGACCCGATTGTCTAAAAGGTGTTACTTTCAGAGGGAACTCCTACGGTACTCTTCACGCATACGGACTCGGATTCTGTCAACAGGCACGATGGTACCCGTTAGACTGAGAGTAATAGGAGGCAAGTGTCCGGAATGAATAGTGCGAGAGTTCCGTGCCGTGTCTGTTGCGCAGTCACTAAGGGAAAGTATGTCTGACGCATGGAATCTATAGCTGAATGACTGAAGGAACTGTGGGCGGCAATGATACATGTTATCGTCTAATACCACTAGCCAAGTCGAAGCCCCCAGGAAGTTTCCTGCGTCTCTGGTCGCCAGAAAACCATGCACGCTCAACCACCTTTGGCTGAATGTCATAAAAGTTGCCCGCTAGATCCGAGTCCACTGGAAATCTGCATTGCCCATTGGTCGATACTCTGTACCTCACAAACAAGACGACACTTATGAGTCTGGACAAGGGTTGTCTATAGGAAACGGCCGGTAAGCTAACGAATCAGGCATGGAAACGGGATATTGACTTGCAGATTGGGATGAAGGAAGGCTTGGCAACACTACCCATAAGCTCGATGAATCTTGTGGACAGGTCACGACTGTTTCCGTTCCCGATTTTGATTAATCTAAGTCTGAACGGCGTAACGGTAACGCTCAGCATGTCCAGCAGATGGATCGGCAGAAAAGATAGTTTCATGCTACAAGGAAAAGTGCCATAAGTCGGGGGACAGGAAAACCTAGCGAATTATTGCTACCAGTGTACGAACATGGGCATTTACCAATGGTTACGTGGCACACAAGCCGTTCGTGTGTTTTTACCAATAAGGCAATCTGTAAAAGACCCTTCACTGAATGAAACCTGTGGGGTAGTAGATTGCAAGGATGCATAAGGTACCCAGCTTCCTAACAAAAATGCTAAATTACGACTAAGGTGTACCAACAGAAACTGGCACAATCACTTTTTCTCTCACAGATGCACAGGAATCCGAGGAACAGAGTCAGTTTCAGTGATGTCTTTGACTTCATGTGCTCAAAAATGTGTAGATACCAAGGTGGCTGAAACGCGCATTACGGTGGCTTCTCCTTCAATTTCACGGGCCGACAGCCGCCTACTCGCTGACAGGCGAAATAAAGCCCAAATCTGTATACTTTAGCTCATTCAGTAGAAGTACTACCGAACCTAACTGGCCAAATAAGAAAAGTAAAACAGTTTGGAGTTGTATCACTCCAATGCAATCCAATTCGTAACAAGAGAGCCAGGAGGTTTGAAACTAGATAGGCAGTATCTGCACTGAACTTTCCCACTAGAAGATCGCGCCTTAACCTATATCATAGCCGATTCGTCGAAAATGCGTCAACTAGAGACGAAAAATGACAAGTAATGGAATAGGTAGGCTAAATTAAGACTGATCAAAGTGTAACAGCCGTCTGCGAGGAACATACGACAAAACCTATTGATGAGTGAAAATCAAATTTAAAATCACGTGTCAGTAGGGATCCGAAAATGCAGGCTAGCGGTGACAGGTAATGCCCAATTCCCCAACTGGTCTCTGCCGACAAACAATGATTGGAACAGTCCCGTTATGTGCCGGTGTTAGTGGAGGGACGAATTTCGAGTATCGTTCAACTAAACATTACTACAAATCGCCCTACGAGAGTCACAAATGGAGGCGCGAGATTACATACTGTGCGGTTTCCGAAACATTGCATAGAAGCTGATCATGCGCCGCAAATCACGGCGGGTGCTTCGAAAGTGTGAGGACAGTAGACAACTGTGAGTTCAACCTGGTGTCAAATGGGGACGAGTCAACGACAAATCGGAAGGTGACAGAGCACGAAAGTCTCAGCAACCAAAGGAGCTCGCAATTTGACTGCCAGTAACCCAGATAACCTTCAGAATGGGACGGATAAGCGGTTGGGACAACATTCAGTAAGCCTCTGCATCGGAGTTGCCGGCTTCAATGTTACCTAGAATAGATCATTTCAATTTTACCCTCTTTCATCAAGTATCTGTGCTGAGCTGCTGCAAATTTTAGGTCTCATTATCCCCCATCACTGGTGGGCGGTGACAGCAGGAAAAGCCACCACCAAATTGAGGGAATGAAAAACTTGCCAGGGCAACTAATAAGCCAGTTATATAAGTTCAATGTCAATGTAGTTCAACACCATCACATGTCAAACCAGTGTTTCACTATCAGCGTAATTCGTGCAAATGCTCCCAAGAAGGATAGGAAGGATACAACCAGGATGGGAGAAACAACAACACAGGGCTTAACCACATTTTCGACGTCAGCTGAAACGCTGAATAAAAACTCCATTCTGTGAGAACAGTAAGACGTCTCCTCTGGGTGATGTCAAGAGACACAGAAAATGAATTCTCGTCATCTGTCACTAGCAATATAATCGATATATATATATATATATATATATAATCGATTAGAAGAGTTGACATTATGTTTCTGTACTAATTGAATTCATACAATGGAAATGATGGCCTCCCGCAGAAAAACAACCTGAAGCAGACAACAAAGTCACAGTTAAGAAAAGAGCAAGACGATTTGGTTTGCTAGTGTTGTCTCGGATGCCTGAGGATGGCAACATGAAAGCAAGTAAAACAAATGGGAGAAATACGGGCAGGTCATCAGACGGAAGACTTATCTAAACAAGTCACCCACGTATCGACAATCGATGGTGGTGTGTTCCGAAGAGCTGAGTAGCTGGATCAATACTACATCTGACTGAAAGTCGGAATCTATCAGTTGTTCACCGATAAGCAGAATCAGTTTGGAGTTGGTCAATACAAACATGAAAAGGTCAGTCTTTGCCTCCACAGCACAGATGCTGAACGGCAATTAATCCGCATCTTTTCCGAACCTTTCTAAACTGATGTCATTGAGACTGCTGGTTGCTCCAAACAAAGCTTGGAATGTGAAGGCCATAGGGGAATTGGGGAGCTGTAGACTCGTCAGATACTGCAACACTTCAGTCGAGCCAAAGTAAGAATCTAATCAAAACATCTTGCGAAAAACCTCCCAACAAGTGAAATGCATGAAAGGATCTACTCATTAAATTTCTAGACTTTCCGATAACCGGTGGACGGTTTCGCCCTTTCAGGGTCTCATCAGGTAGGCGCAATCCGCGAATTTCCGTCAAACCTATGTTCTACTTGAACCCAAATTGCACGGGATTCAACAGATGTACTAATTTTCATATCAGTTGGGTTTTCACAAAAGACTCACCTGAACCCCCCTGAATCTCTTGTTCATGATCGAAACAGTTATCAGTCCCAACCGAGTTTTATAAGCCACTGGTGACCGTAGAATACACTGGGTTCAAGTTCAAATAAACCGGTCAAAAAACACTCGTTCTTTCACCAACCCAGAGGTTTTTCCTTCCAATCAGACTTGAGATAACCTGCTGCCGCTGAAATCTTTGAATCATACTCGGTTGGACACTAACCGTAGTTTGCTTAATCCACGCTTGTTAGGCTGAAAAAACGAGACCGAAAACACCTTGGCGGCCGGAATGTATGCCACACAAACAAAGATTGGACGGTATCCGTTATCAACCGAAAACACCGAGTTCAGTCAAGGACGAATGATCGAGTAAACAAATCTACTTGCCAAATGCGTTTCTAAACTCAAAACAGTACAGATACAATATGACACTACAGTTAAGTGTCAGGCGCAACTAAGAGCACACTTCACAATAAACCCCAACACTAACCTTCAGCTTGTTGTGGAACGTGCCGCGGAATACGACGTTTAGATGTGGTGATGGCTGGTTTCTCCCGTAGGCCGTGAGTATCGGCTGCGTCTTGCACGCTCCACACTGAGGATGACGAGCGGCTTAGATTTGTCTGCATCGGTGCCTGGTTTGAGATCGACGTTGGTCGTTTAATATTTGTTGACTCGTTGTCCACTTCCGCCGCTTGGAACGGGTCAGAATCCAGTGTCAAACTTTCATTGTGGAAGATTATCGTTAGTCGATGAGGCGCCTCTAGCTGCACTTTCAGTGGGGAGTCTTGAAGCAAATCTGGACCCGAATATGAGTCTACAGGTTCTAGACGATACTCTATTGCATTAGGCTGGTTGTTCGTGGGTGTTACGCGGGCGAATCCCCTTAAAAATGGAGAGAGAAAGTACGGAATAAAGGACACTCAGCTTATATGGTGCCTTGGAATTGGGTTTTTTCTGTAAAAAGCGGAAAACAGCGCGATGAAAATCAATCATGGTTATTTTACAGAACGGCGGACTATAATTAATTATGCGTCATCTGGTTAATGCCAGTTGTGTCGGTGAAAAATTCCCCTCTCAACAGCCGTGGTGTCTTGCTGACGCAAACCACCCATCTGACTACCAGTCATTGGAAAGCATACGACAAGACTGTTGAATACACGGCTGACCTTTGAAGTTGATCTATTTCGCCTGTCACAATAGAGCAAACGTATAAAAGATGGCGCTCTTCCATCCATTTTCGTGCCGCTCTGCCCAAACTCAACCGATCAGAGGGGATGAAAATAGGATGCCACAAATGAAACACACGCACACACAATCAAACAATGAAGCACAACCCATCATCGTTACGCTCCATTACGCATCCTAACAATGCACCGATGACATTATCTAGATTCGTGATGAAATGTTTGCAAGTAAATTGCCCAGCTCACCGAACAAACCAATGACCGTATTCCTAAGCCGTTGAACAAGGTTGACGAACGGAGAGAAGAGAGAGAGTGCGGAGTAAGGAGCGCCAGGAGGACCAAGCTAAAAGCTTATCTTCCTTCATTTTGTGTACAGAAATGTGATTATTGGTTCATGTGAAGCCTCATGTGTGCTGTTCATCTTGCATGTGAAAACAGCCTACATTGAAAGTCAGAGAAGCACCGTAGAGAACAAGCATTTTCGCAAAAGTCATCGGAGTCGAATCCCATCGGTCTCATCAAACTGTCAAAAAATACTGTGGCTCTGAAATTAGCATAATTCTGGACGAAAAATTGCTTCAACCTTGAAATGCACCCTCAGCCAATTATATTCCATCTTGTGCTTGAGTCTCCTATTACCGTTTTTTTAATATCTTCATTTTACACCAGTATGATAGTCATGGAATCACAGGGTGGACAGTCAAATATAGTTGTCAGAAATGGTTGGGATCTACGATTCAGCTGGGATTTCTGAAATATTATTCGTCTACCGCTACCTTCTCCCAACCACAGACCCATATAGCGCCCCTTTGAAATCATGGAATTCCCCAATAAAGTTAAAACGGACAATCACAGCGGATGCTTTCATTGGTGATCACATCACATAAGACATGGTTGTCCTCATCATGTCAGGCGATTCATACGTTCGCACTCCAAAATATACAGAGTTCGCTTCAGTAGACTGCTGCATTACTCATTCTAGACTGTTTTGGTAGCACAACAACCTTGGGTAGGTAAAAAAACATTGGTCATCAATTTCTATTGTGCTCCATAAATCAGTAATCACACGCAGGATGACAGCCTACACCGACGAGCAGCTTTATTGGACCACAAGCTCAGGTTCCTGTAACTCAGTTATTACCCAGCCTAATAACCGGCTAGCAGGTACGGGTATCCGATATCGGGTTTTTTCTATGAAGAAAACTTTTCTTTACAGCGGATTCTTTCCTGGGACGACGTCTTTTTACGTCAAGGTTCAAATACTGCACACTGAGTTTCCTACCCTAAAAGGTACAATGCGGTGAGATACTAGCATAGCGGAGATTTGTCACAGCGCGGAAAGTACATGAGGAAGCCCCCGTCAGGCCAAAACACTTATTTAGAACGGATGGCTGCAGTCTTCTACCTGGATACATTCATCTAGAATGGAGTTCGCTCTATTTGGTGAGCTGTTTGACCGAAATACAAGCTGGTTACTCCGAACCGCAGTGACCAGATCACGAATTAACTCTCATATAGGATCTGTTAGTCAACAATCGGGTAATTCTTGCATTTCCACTCCTAACCAGTCCTGTCGTTTTCCACTGGCCAACCTACAACGTACACCCCATTAGTTAAGCAGAATCCTGTGCAAAGATGAGATCGAAGTACTTGAACTATTTCCAAACATATTGTATCCGATATGTAAGAGACATGCAACTGTTAGACTTGTTCGAACAAGCTGTAGCAACCTTTCGGTGCCTAGCTGCCATGCCACCCGAAGGAAGCACGAGGGCTGCCAAGTATCAAGTATCAAGTATCAAGTATCAAGCATCAAGTCTCTCATTTTCTCTCATTTTGAAGCCCCTCTCATTTGACAATTCAGAATAGCGACCTAACATGAATTAGGCTCACCACTTCACGAAGATCAGAAGCGTTGGAACAGGTCCAAGTGTTTAGTTTTGATCTTTTGGTTACTGAAACCAAAAACTGGCTCATGACGACGCTCAATGGGAACAACGTAAGGATTTCTTGTGCTCGGCTTCACGAAAGAAAAATTTGGAAGAAAAATATAACGACCGATTCTATCGAAGATTTCAGTTTCCGCAGGCCTATATGTTGTAGCTAGAATTAACTAGGCAAGCTGAGTGCAAACCGTATTGGTCATGGTTCACTAGACATCTAGGTTCAGATCACCGATCGATTGACCGGGGGATCTTTGTGTTCGCGTCAATGATGTAGATGTGTTTGTAGACGTTGGTACGGTGACGGGGACACTTGTTTTAGGAGCCCGACTTAGGTATAACGCGTGCACCAGGCACCTTTACGCGGAGCGTTACACGGCGTGATGGCAGCCAACGCAGTGGGTCAGTGGTTAGAGCGCGAATTTACTGACTGGAAGGTCCGTGGTTCGAACCCGACCTCTGCCCCTTGACTTTCCCCGTCTAGACTTGGGCAACCTAGCAGTATCCAAGCCCTCGTGCTCCCTTCTGGTGGCATGGCAGTTAGGCGCCGAAAAAGTCATGGTTTCTGATGAAGTAATCAATATAGGTCAAGACTTGGGACTGAAATTTGACCACATGTTGATAGTATAGACGCAATTAGATTCAAAGAGTCTAACTAAACCCAGACCGAGAGGTAGAGAGTGTATGACCTGGCAACGAAGTATGAACACACTAACAAGTAGGCCTTGTCGGATCGACAACTGTAAATTTCCTGGATGGGAATCCTGGGACTCAGCTCACCAACTCACCAATGGTTAATGACACTGGCAAAAGTGGAAGAATCGCGCAGTCAGTAGCGCTTGTGTATCAAAGCTATCGCCATCAATGCGTAGCTACCCAGTTTTCGAATGAACTGAACATGCCATCGCCTCCAATGCTTTACGGTATGTCCCACACTCTCCCACTTTCCGGTGATTGAAAATGTAGCGGCCGAAACCACTGTGCATATGGTACAGAGTTTATAACTGACAAACTGAATTGAATTGCCACTAAGCCGAAGCTTGATCATATCCGTATGGCATTCGGCAGCTTTGCTCCCTAAGATGAACGCCACGGGAATTCCCATATAATACCAACACGAGGCCGAGGAACTCCCCTGAGTACCTATATTCCGGTCGTCGAACTACTTAAAAAAGTAAGCTATTGACGTGTAGCTAAACAGCAGTGCAATTGTCTCAACTCGATTTTAACAGACATCACGATTGTCAGCCCAAACAAGCACTACAACAATGACGCTTACCAAAACAGAATTCGAACTCTGCAGAGCGTCATCTGCCATTGTGTGCACGCAACCCATAAAACAGGTAAACCAATGACATAGTTCAGTCGAAATAAAGCAATTTCATAGCAGTTCATTTTCGCTTACTATAGTCCTAAAATTACATTGAAAAGAAACAATGCAGGTCAGATTTACAAGTGTCTGTCATAAAATTGTATGAAGACGCCAGGTGGAGAACGGTGTGGACACAAATAACGTGGCAGCCGTAAAATAACAACGGACAGGCTGTATGGGGATCACCCTAAATTACATGGCAAGCCACATCATACCATTCTCACCTATAGTCCAGAGAGCGGTCCAACGTCAACTCTCCACACAGACAATTTTGACCTACCGAATTATCGAATTCCATTACATGAAGACCTGGTACAGCTTGAGGTCACAACACATCACCGCCACGGAATATTGATTACTTCATACGTTCATGATATCAACGTGCAATGTAAGCTAGGCGTATACATTCCACACCCTTTGTCGTGCAGAAAAGTTGCAGAAATCCAGTATATTGACTTGACTATTTGATGTTAAACTTTCAATAATGTAAAGTGTACAACACCAAACCCATCTCGTCACAGACATCAACGGCCACAGCTCGTGTATATTCTGTATGATGGTTTCGTCTTACCGCCACAAAAAACACTAGCTTCGAAAAGTACATGATTCATTCACTTTGCGGTCACTGACCAAACAAGTTACGCCGACAAAACCAAAATCACAACCCTTGTTCGTCGTGGAATGAACGGCCGATTTAGAGATGCCATCCGATATCCAACCAACAAAATTAATCAAACGCGAAATAGAAAGTACCATAAGCAGCATTAGTAAGGATGAATGAACTGAGGTTCCGGTCCACATAAGAATCGGTCAGGGTGTGAGTATCGACAGAATGAGGCCAGGCGAGCAACACAAGTCTGTTAGTGGTACAGTCAACTGACTGAGTAGAGCTTAGGAGGTCAAAGAAGAAGATCAAGATGTAAAGATTCGAAACCGACACAACACGAACAGGTGTGCCCGCCAGCTGAGTCACGCCAGAAGGACTGTGCTTTACGGCACTTGTTTACATCAGACAGGAGAGGGTGAGGGGCATATGTGTCCTCGTTGGAAGCCAATGCATCGCAGTCAAATAATGAATCAGTTGTAAAGAAAAATGTATTGTTTCGGTCCAGCGGACGCGTATGGGTATAATGTACTGCCAGGCAGTGAATAAAAAGGATAACTGGAACGAACCCCAAACCAAGATATGAATGACCCACAATAATCAGCTTGGTTGCTTCTTGGTTAAGGAACACCGTGGAACAACCTCAAGCTTGAGGTTTTGTTGCAATCCCTCCATCCGACGACCCGCTGTTCAAAACTTCCTCTCTAATACGATCATGCATCCGTACAAGTCACCCACAAGGCTTGGACTGTTCGTCGCTCCATAATAAGTCGTGAATG